CCAAAAGCTTCCTTCTCATATACAGCCTTGTCGGCATGCCAGCGACCGAGGTCGCGAATGACCTCGTTCAAGAACCGGCCAAGATTATCCGCTTCGCGCGAGGTGCATTGGAAAATCAAGGCGGTAAGTCTCTGTTCGCGGAACAACTGATCTAACAGCCCAACAGTACGAAAGTTAGGTGTGCCGGACGTGTGTAAGAACTTGAGCATCTTAAAGCAGTAGAACGCATCGATGGGTGACAGCAGCAAACGGGGCAGGAAGCACTGTTCCAGCAGGCTGACGTTGAGGGAATCATGCTTCCCGCGCATGCCGGCGAACCACCGGTCCTTTTCCTTCTGTAGTCTTGCCCTTGTCTGACCGTAAGCCTTCAGATGAGCCTTGTTTTCCTCCAAGATGCGTTCCTGCAGTTGGGTTATCTGCTTCTTTTCTCTTTCCTTTCGCTGAGTGCCGGCCATGCTAATGTCGGATCGATCGCTGTTGATGGCCACGACCTTTTTCTTCTGGCGTTCGATTTCATCTTCGTAAGCCTTCTGGGGTATATGTACGTCGTAAAGCGACAGTTGCCAGAAGATGACGTAAAAATGCAGGCCGACCACTCCCCAAGTTTCGGGTGTCAGTACTGACTTCACCTGATCCTCCAGATCCTGCATCACTGGGTTCAGAGTTGGACTAAAGGATGTCGGTTGACCTGGATGCCCTGAAGTAGGGTTGCTGTCTCCCTCAATGGTTGCCACTACTTGCTCCTTGTCAACCTCCATAGAGTTGTCGGCGGTTTCATCCGCAGTGCCGTTCATTTCACCCTCATCTGTCGTTTCCATCTTGTCATCCTCGGATTTGATAGGCGCTGCTTCGCTTTCGCGGGCCCTCACAGCTGCAGCTTCCTCCTCTTGCATTGCTTTTTCAGCATCCGCAACCTTGCGGGAAACGCTGGGTCGGCGGATCCAGAACGCAATCTCAGGCTGAATACCAAATTCCTTGATGAGAGAAGCCAAGTCGGGAACAAAAGAATCGAACTCATCCACCGACAGGTTGCTGCGTAGGAGATCCAGATACTGCGCTAGGATGCGATGGATCTCGTCGAAGACATTGCCTAGTAACTTGAGTTCAGAGTCTCCCTCCGTAGCCTTGTAGATACACGTCCAGCGTTCCTGGGCGATTGCAACAAGCAATTGTCCGGCCAGTTTCGATACTGTCAGAGCTTTCATGAGTCGTTTCGAAGTTGTTTTCGATTCGTGCCGTTTGTCGAGTAGTTGTAGGATGGTCTGTGACTGGAGGATCTCACCACCGGCCATAGCTTGAATTTGCGCGTCGTTGAAGTTTGTATCTGTGATGATACCAGCCATAGAGCTAATCATCTGCTCCAAAATGATAAGATCCGTGGAGTTGTTCTGCCGAAGTTGTTCAACAACGTACTGAAGGACAGGGGTAGGATCCATGATAGAGTAGCGCTTGTAGGTCCTGCCTGCGAATGTTGCCAAGGCGTTTAGCCATCGACTGGTCAACAGGCCGCCCTGTTGCACTCGGCTTCGTCCATTTTGGCCAAGCGAGTTGATTAGCGCCCAGGTGAGAATGTCATACCCGAGGTATGTAAAGTAGCGTGCACACTCTACCACAACTTCAATGAGGTTCTCGTAAGACTCGATCTGGCTGATGGCGACGTTGATCACGATACCGGGGTTGGCAAAGGCAATCTTCGCTAGTGCGCGAGCCATCGGTCGTATGTTTGTTTTGCTCAGCCTCTTGAGAACGTCCTTCGTCTCGGCTCTTGCTTGATCAAAAGCGGACTTGATATCCGGCAGTCGAGATGTCTGTCCAGAATACCATTCTGCGTAGATGTTGTACCTTGTTGCTCTGGGAAAGAATCCAAGAAGATCGAAGACCTCATTCACAACGCCGGGGTTTGCCTTGGTCAAACTGATCGCAGGCACAAGGAGACGTTTGCAGAGATCCTGCCAGCGCGCTTTGTTCTCTGGTGAGTCATCTTGAGTAAGGCTCGATTTGCCGATCCTCGCAAGCTTAGCTAACAGACTGGGGTCAAGTCCAATTTTGTGCCCGGAGATATTCAGAAGCGATGAACAAAGAGCAAAAACATCATCAACGGATTGACAGACTGGGACATTATCGGCCCAATCGTCCCAATAGAATCTATAGTCGGTCCCATCATTCGTGTCATCCTTGTCGAGCTGAGCCCAGCGAAGGACTCGTCTTGAAGGCGCCGAAGTCAGCCGAATCTGTCCTTTTGCCACACCTCCCTGGTCTTGGCTGGGTATTTGCTGTTGTTCCCTGAGCTCCTCGGCGGTCGGTAAGGGACGCAGTGAGTTATACACTTTGCTCAGACTGTGATGCAAGATACGGTGAATGTATTCGGGGAGTTCGGGATAGGCATCCATAAGCCAAGGGAATTTGCTTAGGATAAAGAGAGACTCTGGGAGGGCTCCGATGGCGAGCAGACTCTTTAGCAGCATAACCTTCTGATCCGAGGGCTCTGGCAGCTCATCTTCATCCGTCTTCTGTGGGGTTCCTTTGTCCGCTTCTTGCTCCTTTGCAGGAGTGGATGACCGTTGTTCTGATTCCCGAATGCGTGGAATTGGTAACGTATCGTCTGACAGAGCACCAGCCATCATCAAAGCATTTACACCTCCACCCGGCCGCGCAGCTCTTTCTCTTTCTGCTTTTTCCTTCATTTTCTCCTCCTTCAAGTCGTCCATCAATTCGTCAGGCCTCCAGAGATGAGGGTACAAGTCGCGAAGCGAGATAAAACCGACTTTGATCAGAAGGGCCGCCAGATAGATGAGGTTGTCGGGGAGGATATCTGACTTGTCCCGCGCTTTCGACGAGTAGAAGCGAAGCTTGAAGCCAAGAAGCTGCGCTGCGACCCTGTTCCCTTTGGGGGGTAGAGTTCCTGTCTCTTCGATCCATTTCCGTGTTTCCATCTCTTCTTCTGACAGATTCGTGTTTTCTGGAAATATACGCTTTCTCTCGTCTTCGGAGATCGGCTTCCGCCCAATTTCGAAAAAGGCTCGAATACCAATCTCTCTGACTCTGCTCCAAAGCTCGCGATCTCGCTGCTCATTGGCTTGCATGATCTCAGCTCGCTCCTCGTCCGTTGTGGCCCATCCTGCGGAACCTGGTAGCGCCCAATTTGGTAGGCCAGAATCTCGGTCATCACCACCAAGTGTGCGGGAAATATCGTCTTTGGGCCACCAGGAACTAACTCGGAGAAGCTTAACAAAGAAGCGATATTGCTTCACAAGCACTGCGGCGAAGACATCGAGCGTGACATCTAAAACACGGCCAACGTCCATATCGAAGGCCCCTATCATAGCCTTGACCCTCTCGAAGGTATCTTCAACGACCTCGCTGGTGGGTGGTTCGTTGTTGCTAGTGGTGAAAAGCTCAGTCAACAGCTTGGAGTACCCTTCCGATTCCTCCCGCAGCAAGTTGTAGTTGGACTGTCGGTACAGAAGATTGGTTTGTTTACGGATGCCGATGCGAGTAAAGGTGTCACGAACAAGACCCAGCGTCTGAAGGACGGGAGTCTCGAGTTGGAGGCGCAAAAGAGCCGCATTGATTCCTGTGGAGAAAACCAACGGTCTCAAGGCAGGATTGCTAGGATCGGCATCAGTAAGAATAGACAGGGTGTCCAGAAACAAAGAGCGTGTGTCGAGAACTGTTGAGGATTGCCCGTCAACCAAATCAACATCTTGAGCTGCAACCTCTTCACCAATAATCTCCTTGATCGCCGTTCCGGCCTCGGTGGGTGACAACCGGCCGTAGAATGCAGACCGGATCAGTTCCTGGTAGATCGAAGCCAATGTCGACGCGTCCTCCTGGTTCCTCGCCTGCACGCCATCCGTAATGACCTTCTGTCTTCCTGTTGACGTCCAATCTTCAACTACACTATCTGTGACATATTCGTAATCGTAAGGCGGCGGTGGACCCGGCGGAGGCTTGACGGGAGGAGCAGGCGACAGCAGTGACTGCGACTGAGGCTTCGGGGACGCCTGCGCTTGTGCGGGCGTTTGTTGTAAGCTCGGCGCAGGAGACGGCGAGGGCTGTATACTAGCTGTTACTACCGTCGGTGAAACCCCGTTTGTCTGGCTCGCATCAGGCACATCTCTGGCAGGCGGAGACATGGCCGTATCCTTCTGTCCAGCGGTGACGTTCGGAATGTCATTGCTAGGTCGTCGGCTGAGATTATTACTGTTCCTCCCGCCTCGACTAGACTGTCTCCGTACGCGACCGCGCGTTTCGGGAAAGTCACGAGGGTGATTTGAATGCGAGCCGTGATTGTGTTGCGCCATGTTGAGATTGCCCGGTCGGTGAGGGGAAGGCCGTAGACCGTCGTTGCCGGAGTCGCCAGACCACGATCTGTCGCCTCTCTTCCTCTTTCCTCCAGCACCTGGAGCCATGACAGCTTCGTGTAATCTAACACCTCATAGAGAAAACCGCGAAATTTCCGACAGGTCGCAACTCATGGAGCGGGTCTTTGTAGGTGAAACTGTCAGTACATGCCAGAATTCAAACCAACAACTAAATGCAGAAATGCATATGTGAGATGAATAGAAAGATACGATGGAGAGGACAACCTGCGGTGGTAAATAGTGCGGAGACGAGTGGTGGTGTTGCTTGCTGAATCGATCAAAGAACCACAGAGAGCTCCAGCAAAACGTAATTCCAAGCATGCAGGAGGATCGCGGCTATGGAGCGATTGGCGCGTCTGGGTCGCTTAATGTATTTCTCGGCGCTAAGCTTTTTAGGTTATCCCGCCGCCATTGTAGGTTATTTTCTTCCTCGATTATTCCCTGTTTTACTACGATAGATCTCTTATAAAATCTGCTGTCATTACGAAATCATTTTGCTATCAACATTTATAGCTGAATGGAAAAGGAATGACCACAGTCCGGTGTTGTCCATTCACAACCACACATCCGACGCCAAAAGCCTATTTTGCAGTCGTTTTCATGAAATATGTTGACCATGCATATTTTTTCTGACACTTACATCAGTCCCAAAGCTTTAGCCTCAATCTCGACAATCTGAGGGATAAGTTCCATCAAACTAGGCTGTTGAGGCGTCCAACCGAACAGCTTCCTCGCGCGTATGGCATGGCCGCGCGAGTTGCTCCCCCAAGCATACAGGCCATACTGATTCAGCTCCGTGATTTGCTCGTCTGACAATGGCTCAACATCAGGAGACGGAATCAGCTTCTTCTCGTAAGCCACCTTGGCCACAGCACGCGAAATATCACCCCAGACAAAAGACCCGTTCTCGGCGAGGTAGTACCCCTGCTCATTCCAGGTGGCCTTGCCGCCTTCTGCCGCCGCGGCATCCCCTAGGGCCAGGTAGACATTGGTGAGATCCTGGACGTGTACCTGGTGCCAGGTATTCTTGCCCTCGCCGATAAGGAAGCCCTTCTTCCTTTTCAGTACGGCAGAAGCCAGCCAGTACGCTTGGACACTCTTTTGGTTGCCGGGACCACGGCCGGGCCCGTAGATGGTAGGGGGGCAAACGATGGCGGTCTTAACACTGTCGGGGGCACGCTGGCCGGCCCCGATGATGATCTTGTCGACATTCCGGTGTAAAGAGTCATCGGGCAGGTTCATCAGCTCGTCTACTCCGTCCCAGTCATTGTGCTCCTTGGTGCGCTCGATTCCCCAGGTGTTAGCGCGGAAGTCTTCGACGGTCAGAATGCCGGTGCCAGATGTATGGATTAACCAGAGGGGCTTCTCAGGGGTGTGGTGAGTAGCGCCTTTGGCGATAGCAGTGGCAGACGCGACGTGGTCGCAGTCGGCGCAGTCTGTACGTCGTGAGTCAATGGTCGCTCGCAGCAGAGGATGCTCACGTACGGAAGATGATATCTGCATTCTTGACTTCCTCCTCGATCACGTCGGCGGAGTCCAGGTCTCCATGCACGATTCGGACATTGGGGTATTTACTGGCAAGTTGAGCCGCCTTTTCTTTGTTGCGAACCAGGACAGAAATCTGCCAGTCAGGATGTGCTTGGGAGACTGCATAGAAGACATCTCCGCCAATGTACCCGGTAACACCTGTGCTGGAAAACGGAGTCAAAGGTGAGTATTATCAAAATCGTCAGGGCGGTTGAACATACAGAAAAACCTTTGGAGCCATATTGAATCTTTCTATGTATCTAAATGGCTTGGAGTAATTAGACAGTAACTCTGAGAGCAACACGTGTGGGAACCTAACCACACTTATATAGATCTGCAAGGAATTATAGTAATGCAACACGGACACATTTCCAAGTTACACACACCCTTGCTTTGAAATCAAGCGTTAGGATGGGCCCTCGTCGCCGCACAAGACTCAATCAGAGCTTCGACAGCTGTTGAGAGTGGGGAGCGGGGGCCGACGGAACTTCAGAGAAGAGCATCAATCCTCAAAATGATTGCTTGGGGATAGTATTAGTGAAGGAGCTGATTGGAGTGCTTGTTTGGACAGCACTGCATACGAACTCAGTCCTACCTAAGGTATCAGAGACAGAAATGACATGATACGATGTCAGAAGTACACCAAATACGAGGAGGACAACCCCTCATGACGTCCACCACGGTAATCAGTTTGACAAAAAGCAGAGGGTCTCCCACCCATGGATTGCATCCTGACGGTTCAAAATGTAAATAATCCCCAGTGATCACCAACCGCAAGCTCAGCACAGTACAACACCCAGAACCTGTTACAAAATGCCATCCGACCTCCTCACAGGAAGCTGCGCCTGCCACCACGTCACCTACACGGCCAGCCAGCCCCCGTTAAACGTCACAAATTGTCACTGCACCATCTGCCGCAAACAATCCGGCGCACCATTCCAGAGCTGGGCGACCTTTGCTCCAGGCTCCCTCACCTGGGACAAGAGCAAGTTGCCCTCATTCCGGAGAGCCAGTGCCTTTGCGACCCGCGGGTTCTGTCCAAAGTGCGGATCGAGCGTCAGTATGCAGTATGACTACGAGCCCGAGCTTCTGAGTGTGACTACAGGGACCATCGACAGTGCACATCAAGCGAAAATCCCGAAGCCGACATGTCATCTCTTTATGCAGGAGAAGGTGGCGTGGTTTGATCTGCCTGATGATGGCGCTGAGCGGTGGAATCAGTTTTCGCCGGACATGGCTGAGAGTTTGAAGAACTTGCAGACGAAGTCGAGCTGAGCATGTCAGATACGACTGGAAAGATGGTACTCTTGTGTTGAACAGACAGAACAAATACAGTATCAACGACGGGCATAATTCATCTGGAACTCAAACAAGGCGCGCTCTGGCCTAGGCAAGGACCACAGAAGTAAACTAGTTGTCACAGGGGAATCTTAACAACATCATGTCCATAATCTACAGAAATAGATCAAAATGTGCTGGTTGCTAATCGACTGGCGGCATTCTTGGCATCAAGTCGGTCCTCGTCATCGTCCCCCACGATCGAGCCAACGCCGCTGGGAGACCGCAATCGTCCTTTGGCGATGCCTTGCCCGTTAGTCTCGTCGTCCTCGTCTGCTGCCGGCGCAACGAAGCTACCACTCATGCTGCGCCCGAGGCTGTCACTACGGCGCGGAATCCCACTCCATGCGTCTCCCTTAGGACCTTGACTGGAAGCGAGGTTTGCCCGGCGGACAGCCGGATGTGCTTCACGGCCCAGGCGGCTCAGACCACCGGTCGAGTCGATAGACCGAATATCCGGACGAACACTTTCGAGTGTAGCCAAGGTTCTCCGCTCCGCTTCGATCTGGCGAAGGGTATACTCGCGCAGACTATTCAACATATCATTCGAGGTACGCTCAAACCAGGCGCGCTTCTCCAGAAGAAGGTTCGAAGTGACACGTTGTGTCCGCTTGGTCAGATAGTCCTCATGGCTCTGAGCCTCGTCCAGGGCATTGATGGCTTCGTCGACCTTCTCCGGCCGAACCGACGAGCTGACTTTCAGTCGGTCCGCGGCTGCACGCTTGCTGCGGGTGGCTTGCTGAGCTTGGATGAGTTCGCGCAGAAGGATGTGACGATTAGTCAGTGTTTCCTTGACAATTAAGGCATCTGAGGAGTGATAGCTCAAGGGATCTTCAAGTGTAGTCGCCTCGGCTGTCGCCTGGACCGCGTGGAAGTCTCCAACCGACTGAATAACCTTTCCCAATTTCTTGTAGGCATTGGCTAGGCCGGGGTGTGTCTCCTGCACGTGCATCTGCCCTAACTTGACGCCGAAATCGGTTTCAGCGAGGCCGAGCCCTGAGCGGAATTTCAATTAGTAAATTCTCTTCCTGCCAAAATCAAAAAGAAAAAAAACACCGAGCCACCCACCTCGACGAGCCTTGACCACGCGGTCAACCTTATGGCTGGCATCCATGGTTCCAAGGTAGAACATCTTCACAATAGGCCGAGCATTCTGCAGCTCAGGGGTATCATCAGGCGGCGGCGCGAACTGCTTCAGGACCTTCCTCCGAACACCTGTTGCAGGCTGCTTCATTCGAACGACGGGGCTATAGCCAAAGTCGCTTTCGACAAACAGAACCACCTCGTCATCCTGCATAAGAATCTCATTGCTCATAACAATGTTGAGCCACCGCTGCATCGACGCCTTGACTCGGATCTCGTCCTCTTCGGTCCCTGCCCCGGCGGGGGTCAATGGAGGCGGCACTGCGGGGACGAGAACCTCCGGGTTCGCGGAGATCAGATGGTCTGCTAGTTTGGTAAACTCAGCATGGGTACGCCGAACGTCTCGGTACTGTGTCGTTCTGAATTTGGGGACATTTGTCTGGAGGCCAGCGTCAGTTTGTTTTACTGCAGGCGAGACAGTCTACCACAAGAACACCGCTTACATGAACATCAAATCGTAGGATAGGATCCTTCTTTCCCGTCCTCTCCAGTCCCGTAATTTTAGCTTGGATCTTATACGCAGGCCCAGGTCTGGCATTCTGCCTGGCTCCGGTTTGATACCGCGCGGGGAGCTGAGACCGAGGTTCGTTCGCATACTGGGCTTGCGTAGCGTACGGTGGCTGCTCAACAGCATAGTCAGGGTCTCCTAATTGCGCACTTTGAAGTCGTTCAGACAGATCAGGCGAGTCGGGGGCTCCGTTCTCGGACAATCTTGGTCTGGAGTCATCGCCCTCCTGGTCGCCATTGTATCCGGGCTGATGGTGCGGGGGTAGCGGCGAGGAGGGAATATCGTTGTTGTTGGATGCAGGGTAAGATGCCTGAGTCGCTCGAGGAGATGCCCAGGGATCAGAGCCCGAGGGATGATCCGGGTCCTGAGTTATGGCCGAATAGTCCATGGGTTGTTATGTATGCCTCAGGCGGATTTGGTAATCTTCTGGCTGCGATGCAACCACGTCTACACGGAGCTGCGGGCGCGACCTTGTTAGTTCAGACGACGACCAGGGAGGTTGAAACTGAATTGATATAACAATACCTGTAGACCCTTACAAAATCTTATTGAAGTATTTGGAAAGAACAAGAGAGAAGAAAAACCCGCCACGACGTGGAGAAAATGAGGAGACGAGCTCTGCCTAGAGAGGGAAGCGTTGAAGCCATGGGGCGGAGGTAGTACTACCTTACGTCGCTGGGGAGGAGCGGCGCCTGATTGGCCAGGCATTCAACTCACTGATCTGCTTCTGGAGAGAAGATAAAGGTATCACCCACTCTGAACCTTCTTCTCGCGCAATTTGCTTTATCTCCTCCATTCCTTTGTCTTTTTTCCCTTTAGCCTGAAATTAGAATGAATACTTGAATGCTAATATATTGTCAATGATATCCGGTCATGGTTGCAGCTCCTTTCCTGCGCAGCTTCCCCCAGGCGGTGCGCTGCAATCGTCCTAGAGCAGCTGTTGATGCTGCCAAGCGCCTTGGGTTGGAAACAGGACGGTCCGCAATCTCTGACAAAATATGTTTATTTCGGAGTCAATATCAATCAAAGGGCTTCTCGACATCTACGTCAAGATGGCAAGACAAGATTCTGGATCGAACAAGGAACATTGGTATCATAGCCCACATTGATGCTGGCAAGACGACCACCACGGAGCGTATGCTCTATTATAGTGGCTTTACCAGAAGGATAGGAGATGTGGATGAGGGATCTACAGTCACTGATTTTCTCCCTGCTGAGCGTGCGCGAGGAATCACTATTCAATCGGCGGCCATTACCTTCCACTGGCCGCCAACAGCTGGGGAAAGTGATAATCAAGAAGTGCAGACCCTAAGATCTGCGACATCGCATACGATTAATCTCATTGACACTCCTGGACACGCTGATTTTACATTCGAGGTTTTGCGATCGTTGCGCATTTTAGATGGCGCAGTATGCATACTCGACGGTGTAGCCGGTGTCGAGGCGCAGACGGAGCGAGTCTGGCACCAAGCAAGCACGTATCGCATCCCCCGGATTGTCTATGTCAACAAACTAGACAGAGATGGGGCTGCATTTGGGCGGACGGTCAGAGAGGTAGGCTCCCGACTTGGGAGCTTCCCGGCTGTGTGTCAAATTCCGTGGTTTGAAAACGGCAATGGTCGCTTTGTCGGTGTGGCCGACGCGATCAACCTACAAGGCCTTCGATGGCAAGAAGGGGACGGCAAGGTGGTCAAGATGCTGAGCCTTACGCAGTTAGATGCCGAGGAGGCCCAGCTCGGTAAGGAGCTCCGACGCGCCCGGATAGCGCTTGTCGAACTGCTGAGCGAGCACGACGAGGCAATGGTGGAGAAGTTCCTGGACTGCGACGAGGACCATCTTGCCGTTCCTCCGCAAGACATTTTGAAGAGCCTGCGCCGGTGTCTCCTCGAGGAGCCAGAAAGCAACATCGTCCCCATCTTTGCGGGTGCCAGCTTCCGCAACATCGGAGTTCAGCCCCTGCTGGATGCCGTGGTGAACCTTCTTCCGAGTCCGCTCGAGGCCCCCGACCCGGAGGTCAGCATTGGAGGGGTCCAGGGAGGCTTGCAGCGCCTTCTCTCGGGCGAACTCATTGTAGAGTCGAGCGAAAAGAGCGCATCTGCCAAGGGTAAGCCGAAGAAGAAGTCCGTCGCGCATGCAGAATCCCAGAATGTGATGAAGAACCTGCAAGGCTGCGCCCTGGCCTTCAAAGTAGTCAATGACGCCAAACGAGGGGTTTTGGTATATGTGCGGGTGTACTCTGGATCCCTGGATCG